TCACCGACTTCTTCTTGAATGATATTGAGATTTACTTGGGTTGGTGAAGAAGGAATATATCGAACATTATTTTCTTGAAGCCAAATAGGACCCCGCCACCAAATTCTATGATTGACCAAGTCTTGAGGCATGATTCCTCTTGATGCGCAATCAGCTGGATTATCTTGACTGGATACATGGAACCAATCAGTGATTTGAGTCAAATTTTGAATTGACGACACTCTGTTCGAAACAAAGGCCTTCCATCTGCTGGCATCTGATCTTATCCAATCTATGCAGATTTGTGAATCAGTCCACAAAAAGGTTTTGTCAGGTTGAAAAGGAAATGATTCAAGAATGACTTGATTCAGTTGAGCCAAAAGCAATGCTGCACTTAGTTCAAGTCTTGGAATTGTAATGGTCTTTAATGGTGCAACCTTAGTTTTTGAGGTTATCAGATTGATTTTGATCTTTTGAATTTTGAATCTAGTTTTCAAGTAAAAAACTGCTGAATAAGCATTAAGGGATGCATCACAAAATCCATGTAGTTGTAATTCTATTTCAGAAGATGAACTGTTCAGGTATCTTGGTATTTTGATTTCCTTTAGGCACGATAGTTGAGTTTGGAATTTATTCCAATTTGACTTTATATCTGATTCAATTGGTTCATCCCATGAAGTTTTCTCAGCAGGAAGTTGACGTTTTCGCCTATAATAAGGTGGTGGCTTTATCTTAGGAATAATCGAAGTTTCTTTCTTAGATGAGAGTGGTTCACTTGACTGAGAAGCGAGAGGTTGTTCTGGAGTGGATGGTTGACTTGATTCAGAAGGAAGTAATTGGTTTTGTTTAGAAGTAAAATGTGGAGTTAACTTGGAGATACGTGACTTTTTAGATTTACTTGGAATTTCTTCAGATTTACTTGGATTATCTTCAGATTTACTTGAATTATCTTCAGATTTACTTGGATTTTCCTGTAGCCCTTTTTCCAATGCTCGAGATCTTGAATCACCTAAATTGGGTGTTGATTTAAAAGGGAGATTGACTGAATATCTGCCCTCAATGTCTCTTTTGAGGTTTGACTTGAATAATATCTCACAGGCATTCTTTGTACCCAACTGGGCCTTAGAAATTGGGACATCTTCAAGTTCCCAGAATTTTCTTATGCTGGAATCAAGTTCAGTGGTACAGTGATTGATTACCGAAGTATTCGACTTAATAGTTGAATGGATTCTCCCAGAAACAAGCCAACCTAACTTGGTATTAAGTGCTATAGGATGGTGCTTTAAATCTGTTTTCTGACCTAGAATTATTTCTACAAAGGTATCTGCACCCAAAATTAGGTCTATGGGCTTGGTGACATAGAATTCTGGGTCTGCCAAGAGCAAATTTTCTAAATGAGGAAAGTCTGCTGACTGAATTTGGAAGTTTGGAAGGTCTGCAGTTACCCTCCCAACCACAAATGCTCTGGCAGAAAATAATTGATCATTATGATGTGGGGTGAACTCTATTTCAACCTGCGATGTTGTCCTGTTGACAACAATGTCACCTACACCTTTTAGTGTATAAGAATTTTTCCTTTTTTCAAGTCCCAACTTGTGGCAACATTGTTCTGAAATTAGGCATGTTTGGGACCCATTGTCCACTAATGCTCTACATAGCACAAATGAGCCATCCTTCGCCTTGACCTTAATAAGGGCTGTTGACAGTAGAATATTTGTTTCCGTTTCCAAAGGCATCACATTACAGATGGTATTTGTTGAAATCAACATCTCTTGAGAGGTTGTTGGTTGTGGAATGGATGGTTCAGAGTTGTATCCATGCAGAAGAGTATGATGGTTCTGCTTGCAGTTTTTACATCTTGATGTGATGAGACATTTGGATATCTCATGATTTGCTCTAAGGCAATTTTGACAAAGTTTATGTTTTTTAACTAATTCCCATTTTTTAGGCAAGGGAAGATTTATGAATCTATGGCAGTCATTTAGTTTATGAATTTGATGACATAAAATACAATTTTGACCTTTGTTGACATAAAGGCCGTGAGCCATCATATTTTTGCTAGAAGTTTTTTGTTCCTGGAACAAAGGAATTCTCATACCTTGCAGGCTTCTAGCATGTTTTTCTAAAAAATTCACAAAGTTTTCAAATGTTGGATATTCTTCATTTTGAAGGGTTAATTCCCATTCTTTCCTGAGGGCTTCACCGATTCTTTTTTCAAAAAAATTGATCAGGATTAGATCTGTTAATGTGTTTTTCTCAAGTCCTAGCACTGAGAGATTTCTAATGCCTTCATTGCAAACATCAAGGATTTCATAGAGAGAACCAGATGAAATAGATTTTAATGGCCTTATGGAGAATATTTTGTTGATTTGTGAAAAAGCCAATTCTCTTCTGTTATTAAATCTATTGCATAAGGTATCCCATGCTTGCTGGTAGTTTTTGTCAGAAATGGGAAAACCCCGAATCAACTTTTCCGCAGGACCCTTAACAGATGCATTTAGATATTGAAATTTTTGTATTTCAGTTAGTGTTTGATTTGAATTAATGGTAGAGTTAAATATTTCTCTAAAACTAAGCCAATTGGCTGAATCACCATTGAAAATGGGTAAATTTATCTTAGGTAAATTAACATTGGATTCGGGCAGTTGTTTATCACTACGAGTATTTTCTTTGGTTTCAATCAAAGATAAAGCTTCTTCAATAGACACCAACATATTAAAAATATCCTCTTTGGCTTTTGAATAATCGTCATATTGTGTATCATCTAATTCTGATTTTAATAATGTGTTGATAACTTGATTTAGGCTAATTTTCCTTTCATTAACTTCTTGTTGGAATAGCTTTAATCTATGTATGTTCTTGGATTCTACAATAGCTTTATTCTTTGATTCCAGATCCTTTATTTCCTGAATAATAAAGTTGAATTTGTGCCGAATTTTAACTTCTGATTTAGGCATTACTTTATTTTAAGAATTTTAAGTTTTCAAATGGCTTACCTTAATTTTTTAAAGTATCCGGCTCGAGGGACCATAATGTTCGTGGCTTGAATGTTCAGTAAAAATACTAAGAAGCACTTTGCCACTTGTCTTGAATTATTTTATTGTCTTTTGGTTTTAGAGTTAGGAGTAGCTACCACATGATTTTAGAATACATGAATTTAGCTTAGATTTTGATACTAGTGGTAGAGAGAGAGAGAAAACAAAAAAAAACTATTAATTAACCAAACTGGAAATTTACATACATGTGGATTGCTTTAAAATTTACATATTAAAGATTTATATTGTACAATTGAATTTAGAATATTTTGGCTTAATTTTCATATATAAAATTGAATTTAAGGAAATTATTAACTATAGGATCCAACATAGTGTGTGTGGTTAGCTTTTCTTGATTAATCAGGAAACTGTATTTGGCCAATTCTGGAATAATTAAGAAAACAATGATGAGTTGATATTTATTCTGATAGATAAACGTAAGCCATCAGCAACTTTTAGTTCCACAATCAGGAAATGCCCGTTTTTCTCAATTTATCTACCTGATCCAAGTACAAATTCACTTTTGTTCTATTTTTCACTTTAAATAGCATTACTGGATCTCTACTGATGTTGAACAGAGTAGGAAGCTAATCTAGGTCTGGCTGGCAGACATCAGGCTGTAGCCGGGAGTACAAACACTTCTTTCTTATCTCCACCCTGGGTGAAGTAGAATGCCTTTGTCATTAAGACTAGGAGCACTACTCAGTGGCAGGCCGACTTAGCTCCAAAAGAAATGGCCGCCTCTGACATGAGGAACAGACGCCATGGGCAGCCACTCCTAACATGGAGTACAAATGCTGCTCATCCTGTATTCCTAGATCAGGAGCCTTTAGAGGGTACTATCAGCCAGGCCAGCTGAGCCCAGGTTTTTTAGCGAGCTTGTTACTGCTATACAAACACTTTCTATAGCATTAAAACACCGCCTTTGCCGGTCCCAAGCTCAGATGAAAAAGAAGGAGGGGGAGCAGTAACAAGCTCACTAAAAAACCTGGGTTCAGCTGGCCCGGCTGATAGTACCCTGTAAGGGCTCCTAATCCAGGGATACAGGATGAACAGCGTTTGTACTCCATGTTAGGAGCGGCTGCACATGGCATCTGTTCCTCATGTCAGAGGCGGCCATTTCTTTTGAAGCTAAGTCGGCCTGCCACTGAGTAGTGCTCCCAGTCTTAATGACAAAGGCAGATGGATTCTACTTCGCCCAACCATGATGGTTGTCAAGCTTGACACCCTAATATGATTGAATGGAGATAAGAAAGAAGAAGAAGATATAGCATTACTGGAACTCCACTGCCAAACCTAAGGCTGCTAAAAATGTCCATTAGTGAATAAAGGAGATATCAAGTATCTGAGATCCTTATAATACTAAGGAAAAAATAAGCCAAATATTAAAAAAAAATGTAGGAATATAACTCAGAAATAAATTTGTTTTTAAATAGAACAGATAAATTGGCACAACAAAAACTTCTGAGCATCAAACCCGCAATGGTGTATTTAATATAGAAGGGCAGTAGGATACTTGTTTTACATTTGATAACCAAAATTAGTGCGTTTAATAATTTTATTTCTTATATACAGTAAAACCTTCCTGTAAAAGACAACACCTAATTGCAGAGTCAAAGGGTCCTTTAAGGAGAGGTGTCCTCTTACCAGAGTTGCTACAGTAGAACCTCCCTGTAAAGGACAACACCTAATTGCAGAGTCAAAGTGTCCTTTAGGGAGAGATGTTTTCTTACCAGAGAGTTGTTAAATAGTAAAAATGATAATTTTGCAAATGAAAACTGTCCTTTGTAGAGTGTCCTCTTATAGAGGTTCTACTGTATATGGCTTGTGTTATTACTTTATGTTTGATAAAAGAACTTCATAGCTTGAGATGCAAAGGCTGAGCTAAATGTTTTGAATTATAATAGTCAGTGGAATTAAAGAGGTTTATACTATAAATAGCATCCTAAGTGAACTAGATGGATTTGAAAACATGGAGGGAAGAATTCCCTCAAGTCGGATTTGAACCAGCAACCTAAGGATCATTGTTGATACATCTACAGTTCTCCACCCAGGAGGAGCTCTGAACATCAGAAATAGACAGCATCAAACAAGATTTAGAACAGGCCATCTCAAGCCATTGAAGATAGAAAATAACAACAAAATCTACCCCACTTGCCCAAAATGTAGCTTGGCACCTGCAGCTCCAGAACACATTTTGGCTTGCATTAGATGCACTAAACAGGACCTTTAGGAGAGGCCACTGCTTATCATAAAACAGCTCGAGGAGCATGAACTCAAGGAATTTGTGTAATCTTTACACAAGGGGATAAGAAACAACAACAACAATAGTTCTCCGCTCTGCCGACTGAGCTATCAAGGGTATTAGTGGCCATGTGGTAAGGCATCGGTCTTGTAAACCGAAGATCCAGGGTTCAAACCCCTACTGGGCCTCTATGGAAGGAAGAACTTACGCAGATGCGCAAGGCATCCTGCTTGAACTCCTGCAAGGCCAGCTTGAGGCTCTCGTGGTTGAAGGGCAGGGAGAGGAAGTGGGTGGGATCCATCTTGTAGCGCTGATGTGTGACCATGATCTCAATCCTATCCTTTGCCTTCACCACAGACTCCCTGGTGTAGCCCGTGATCACTGGCACCACACAAATATCAGAACATCCATATGGTAAATGCCTGCTGACCTCCCTGAGTGACCTTCCCAACCTCCTGGAGTGGCTCATGGAAGGTTTTAACAGTGGGCAATATCCAAGTTTTTTTTTTAAATATCCCTAGTACATGTGATACAGACCATGATAATTATGGTGGGTAAAAGTTGACGACTGCTTTAACTGTAAGTACAACACATGTCTACATATGTGAAAAACAGTTTGACTTTTTCACTTACAAATGTGCCAGAGCCCCGCTTGGTTACTTGCACTTGGTGGTGGAGTTGCACTTTTGCAAGAATCAGGGACCTTTTTTTTTTTTTTATTAGAAAAAATGTGTCCATTGCAAGATTCGATCTCGGGGCGTTGCAGTTGAAAACCAATGGTTTAGACCATCCTTCCACTGACTCTCCTAGGTAATATCCGTGGTAAATGAATGAAACATCAACATCTTGGAAATTTTGCCATGAGGATATTGATATAAAAAAGAACAAGGCCACTTCTCCTGTTAAATTAGATGCAAAAACAAAGCAGCATCTATTGCCTGTCTCTACAATCTAGTGGACAAAAGTACTTCTGTCTGATAAAGGGTAATAATTCAAAACTATTTTAAACGCGTAAGATTCTTTTTGAAATTAAACAATTTCTACTGCCCTTACTGCAATGGAAAAATTAAAGGGAGGACCCCTGGCTCATCAGTGGTGAACCCTCCCATTGCAGTAAGGGCAGTATAAAATGTTTAATTTCAAAAAGAATCTTACGCGTTTAAAATAGTTTCGAATTTTGATAACAGATGGCGCGCTAGTGCATCATATTATAAAGGGTAATAATGTTTTTACCAAAAAGTCACACACTATTTATTTATTTGGTTTTATTACCTTATGAAAATAAAATTCTGGTTACAAGTTATGCTGTTATAGTGAGGTTCAACTGTAAGCCTGAATTTTGATATTTATAAAGAAATTGGTATTTTAAAAAACTATAGGTTTGAACTTCCAAAAGAAAACACCTCTTTTTGTCACCAAAACTACAATTTTGCCAATTAGCAACTCTTTGGTAAGAGGACATCTCTCTCTAAAGGACACTTTGGCTCTGCAACTATAGGTGTTCATCCTTTAGAACAGTTTTACTATAATAGGAATAAACACAAGGTAATAAGACCAAATCCAAATAAATAGTGTATGACATTTTGGTTTTGTTACCATCATCAGGCAAAAGTACTGAATGATAAGAGCACAAATAAATAAATAGTGTGTGATGTTTACAGGGGTGTTACCGAAACGTTAAACACTATTTATACCTTGTGTTTATAATCTCCATAATACAAAATGTGCTTTATCATATAATAGAAATTAATGATTTTTTTTTCAAGTACAACGTTCAAGTGTAAAGGAAAAGCACAAGATACATAATATCTTATTTAAGCACCATTATTTGAACACAACATAAGAGCTATAATTCCGCCTTTGCTGGTCCCAGGCCCGAATGAAAAAGGTGGAGGGGGAGCAGTAACAAGCTCACTAAAAAACCTGGGCTCAGCTGGCCCGGCTGATAGTACCCTGTAAGGGCTCCTAATCCAGGGATACAGGATGAGCAGCATTTGTACTCCATGTTAGGAGCGGCTGCACATGGCATCTGTTCCTCATGTCAGAGGCGGCCATTTCTTTTGGAGCTAAGTCGACCTGCCACTGAGTAGTGCTCCCAGTCTTAATGACAAAGGCAGACCCAATCTACTTCACCTAGTGTGGAGATAAGAAAGAAGAAGAAGAATAAGAGCTATCTGATAGATGGCGCTGTGTTCAAATATATCAGTTCATTTCATATGTGCTTCCGGTCTTAATGACAAAGGCAGATGCATTCTACTTCACCTAAACCTCTATAGGCTTGACACCCTAATATGATTGAGTGGAGATAAGAAAGAAGTATAAAGTATAACAAATCTAAAGTTTTGCGGAGGAGCCTCTTTATTATACATTTGCAAGCTTTCGAACCTTTCGGTTCTTCCACAGGCGTGGCTAGTATGACTACACTAACAGGGTATAAGCGCGCTTGAGCCATTATATACAATATATAAATTTACATGCGGAGTGATATTTCAAACGTAATAAAATAGAAATAGGAACTATGACTATAAAGATAAAACTATGTAAATGAACTTATAGATTTTTAAAATTTAGATGAAATTATGGCAAAAACTTTTAAATGCGATAAAAGTTAAGTAAAACAATGATATTCACTGAATGTAAGCCGTGTGACACTTTAAAATTTCGTGACGTTTAAAACCAGTAAAATTCCAAAACATCTCAACACAGAAAACCAAGCTGGGGTCCACTCCTCCCGACCACACACCCGAGTGTATCACGGTGTAACTATTGAGATATTATATGATATATTTCCGGTAGATCTATTTTCCTTACAGCGCTATACCTCTCCCTTCCACACGCCCTCATTTTAAACAAATTACAGTCATTTCTCAAGTCAGCAGGTATTCAAGATCAAACCATAACCCTGATAACCCGGCTAACGTCCTTATGTCTTTCCATTAGCACCTTCACGTTTAACCACCAGCATTACAAGCAGATCAGAGGCACCCCAATGGGCAGTCCTCTTTCATCCATAGTTGCCGAAGTCGTGATGGGGTCCTTGGACCAGTGGATCAATCAGATGCATTCTTCCGACATCCATTATTGGAGGAGGTATGTGGACGACATCTTCTGTGTAATCAAACCGAATGAGCTCCAACCTATTCTTAACACTCTACATTCCTTTCACGCAGACATCAAATTCACATACGAAACAGAAACAAACCTAGTATTGCCATTTCTGGACATCCTTATTATCCGCACTCCACACAGATTGCACACAGCAGTTTATTACAAAAAGAATATCCCACCCCTATACACCCATTTCTCCTCCAATAGCCCGGTAGCCTATAAAGTAAACACAGTCAGGACTTTAACCAAAAGAATACATACGCATTGCTCATTGCCTATATTCAAAGCCATAGAAAAAAACAGAATTACCACCCTTCTAACCACTGCAGGATACCCAAGAAAATTCATAGATAGACACACGTTTGATCCCACTGCTCCGAGGACCTCCACGACTTATAGAGCAGTCTGCTATCTTCCATATTCCTCCTTCTCTGTTGCCATTTCCAGAATCCTTCGCCCATATGGTATTCAGGTTTATTTTAACATCCCTCCCAATCTTGCTGCCCTCCTCAGGAATCCTATCACCAAAGCAGACGCACCCAACAATCCCATCCACTCCACCGGAGCAGTATACGCGGTTTCTTGCCAGGATTGCCCAGCCTCCTATGTGGGGGAGACTGGCAGAACCGCGTATATCAGAATCACCGAACACAAACGAAACATAAACAATAGAGACCCGAAATCACTTATATACCAACATATTTCAAACACAGGCCATAACTTCAACTTAGATCAACCTAAAATCCTATATCAGCACATAAACAATAAGCAGCACAGATTGGTACTGGAATCTATCATATCAACACAAACAAACAGCATAAATAGGAAAATATATCTACCGGAAATATATCATATAATATCTCAATAGTTACACCGTGATACACTCGGGTGTGTGGTCGGGAGGAGTGGACCCCAGCTTGGTTTTCTGTGTTGAGATGTTTTGGAATTTTACTGGTTTTAAACGTCACGAAATTTTAAAGTGTCACACGGCTTACATTCAGAGAATATCATTGTTTTACTTAACTTTTATCGCATTTAAAAGTTTTTGCCATAATTTCATCTAAATTTTAAAAATCTATAAGTTCATTTACATAGTTTTATCTTTATAGTCATAGTTCCTATTTCTATTTTATTACGTTTGAAATATCACTCCGCATGTAAATTTATATATTGTATATAATGGCTCAAGCGCGCTTATACCCTGTTAGTGTAGTCATACTAGCCACGCCTGTGGAAGAACCGAAAGGTTCGAAAGCTTGCAAATGTATAATAAAGAGGCTCCTCCGCAAAACTTTAGATTTGTTATACTTTATACTAATTTATACGGAGTTTACCTGTAGAATAAGAAAGAAGTAGAGTTCATTACCTATATTTTCTGACTTGGTGTTAGTAGCTGGGGGAAATGATATCCTTGTCTGGGTTTCCTGTTCCATTTTTTCTTTTCTTGTTCCTCTCGTCCCAATAAGGAACCTGGAACACACACACAGCTGGGCCTGGTAGTTCTGATGGACCAACTAAGATACAATGTCATAAACTCAGAGTAAAATTTAAACATTTTTTTTACAAACACAAAGTAATAAGACCAAATCCAAATAAATAAATAGTGTGTGACTTTTGGTAACAACGCTGTTACCGAAACGTCACACACTATTTATTTATTTGGATTTGGTCTTATTACCTTGGTTTATAATCTATAATCCAAATTGTGCCTTATCATTTTTTTACGAAAAATCGTTTATTAATCATTTTTTACTGCTTTTTCTAACATGAAAAATTTTGAAGGACCTGGCTGATATCTTAATGTTATTTTTACAAGTTTATTTTAAATGTTATTGTGGTACAATATTATAGATTAGAAACATAAGGTAGAACACATCCAAATTAAGCTTGTGAGGTCTCCCAGCGTTGTTACCGAAATGTCACAAATATTTCATTAATTTGAGGATTTACTACCTTATGTTTCACTATGTTGTTACTACAGTAGAACCTCCCTGACAACACCTAGTTGCTGAGAAAAATGTCCTTTAGGGAGAGGTGTTCTCTTACCAGAGATCTGCTAATTAGTAAAATGGTAATTTTG